ATTCCTGCTCAATGCAGATTCAGAGGATTCAGTTTCTAGGAATAAGAGAATACGTCAATAACAGTACCAGTTGTACTGCAGACTGGGCACAAAATGGATGTGTGGCACTGGTAAATGGTCTCCGGGTATTGCAAACAGAAGTGTGTTATAGAAATCCTCAAGGTAGCTGCAAGTGAGCTACAGGCACCAGAAGCCGTTTGCTGAGGCTCATGTGGTTCAGTATGGCGGATTTACCTCCATCTTGGAAGGGGAAACCAAAACTCTTTTTGAATTCAGGTTGAATTCAGCCAATTGTTTGGCCAAAACAAACCAAAGGGAGAAAAAACAAATACAGGAAAGTTCAAAATGTTTCTCTATTTTCTAAATACAATATTTAAATTTTTAATTTTGGAACAATATTTTTATTTAGAAAATTGCCAACTTTTAATAACAGCATTTAATAATAATTAATGGTTAAACACCCCAAAATTAAATGAAAAGTGGATGTTTTGTTTTAACTAAAATGAATTTAGAAAGCAAACAAAGAATAATTTCCCATCAACCCAAGACTTTTAAAAAAAATTTCTCAGCTCAACAGCAAACAAAAATATCAGTTATTCACACAGTTCTAACAGTATCGTTGATGACATCTATAAACCAAGCGCTCTCCCTCCTTCACTCTTTTCCTTTTACCCCCACACAAAATTGCATCACATTTGTAATAAATACAAATAATGTTTACAGAATAATAAGAAGCGGATTCTGTATTCACTCAAGACAAAGGCAAAGCTCTTATTTAGGGTTACTATACATCTGGGTTTTTCTGGACATATATCCTTTTTTTGGGTCCTCCAATCTCTGTCCGGTTGGTTTTTTGAAATCTGAACAAATGTCTTGGATTTTCCTCTGCTCCACTGGTGGGAGCAGGGGGAGGGAGATTGGAAGCAGGGGCATCATGTGCATCTGCACGTGCACACACATGGCTGGTATGCAGCCAGGCAGGGGGGTGGGGCCAGCCTTGGCAGCTGGATGCAGGTAAGTGTATGGGTTGTGGGGGTATATGTGTGTCTGGGGCAAGGGTGTGAGAGGCTGGGTGGGTGCCTGGTGGCACTGGGGGGTAATGGCTGTTGGGTCTGGGACTGTGGCAGTGCAGGGGGAACAGGAGGGAAACTGCCTGCCCTTCCAACAGGGGAAGGGGCAGGGGGCCCTTTGATGGCAACGGGGAACAGGCAGCAGCACAGGGGCTGGTGCCCATGCTCACACGGGGCAAAGCAGCCAGGAGATGCTGTCCAGGGGAAGCGGGGGTATGTGGCCAGGCTGCCTGGTGCGGTGCAGGAGCCCCAGCCCAGGCCAGGGGGTGCCACAGACCTCCCCACCTCTTCCTTTCCACCTACGCTAGGGCTGGAATTGCTTCACCGCTGCCCACGTAAATCAGAGCCAGCACACTCCAGCCTGCTAGGGAGAGGGACAGTTGGGGTTCTCTCCAACAGGGCTGATGGGGAGCAGTGGGCTGTTGGTTGGGAGTGAGGGGCACCAGTGGGACTGTGGGGGCTGTGGCTTGGGAGTGAGGGCACAGGAGGCGCAGGGGGAGCTTGTGGGTTGTGAGTGTGGGGCACTGGCAGCGCCAAAGAGCTGTGGGGTGGGAGTGAGAGGCACCAGCAGGGATGGAGGGGTGCAGGTCAGGAGTTAGGGGCAGCAGCATGGCCTGGTGGGGCAGGGAACTGCAGTTTGGGAGTGAGGGTCACTGGCAGGGTCAGGGGTCTGTGGGTCAGGAGTGAGGGGCAGCAGCAGGGATAGGGGGGGGCTGTAGGCAGGGACTGAGGGGCCAGGGGCTGTGGGTTGGGAGTGGGATGTCCCCCCAACAGGTGTCCTCTTTTTTGGAACTGGTAATATCTTACTGATATCAGTGGGAATAGGTTCAGGTCCTTAGTGCCTTAAATCTGATTGCACTCTGGGACAAGCATAAGCTTTATCTTCAGTGCTTGGCATACAAGTGTTTAGGTCCCGGGTACTGCTGCAATATAGAACATTCTCCAGCCATTAAGTACTATAATCATCACTAGGTAATATCTCAAGATTTCTATTCAGTAATTATGCAGACTCTCTTTACAATGAAGGAGGACCTAAAGACTGCTGAGTAGCTTAAATGTTATTAAAATGGCTAAAATGTTGGTCTTATTGCTCATAATACTGGCAATGCACTGAAGCTAGAGCAACTGGAGGGGATTTTTCCAGTGGATCCCTTAGCTACAAGATGGTGTTTGAGACCTTGGAGTATGAAGAATTCATGAAATTTGGGTTGTATTCTTCACCTTGTTAGAGGCTTCTTGTAAAACTCAGAGCAAGTCACTAAATTGCTCAGTACCTCAGCTGGGAAATGGCAATAAATTTATTTTTCTTATATGGTGTTTCAACAATAAACTTGGCATTGTTTGTGAGGTACTCAGACACAAAGCCTATAAATCCCCATGGTGGGGGTAGGTGGAGATCTACAAATAATTAGCTGAAACTCCTGTTTTCTTGTATTCATAGCAGGTGGGAGAATTTGTGACAAATATATCTTGGTGATTGACATGGTGCAGTCATGGAAAGATTTATCACAGAAACTGTTTTTTCTCCTTGTCATAGTTAATGTTTCTTTGACTAAAACCCCCAGTTTTAATAAGATCATCCCTATTCCTGGAAGATCCATTAAATACAGAAATACTGTATTTTCAGAAGAAATGCATTTAAATAATAACGACTGAGGTGTAGGGCATATCTAGGGGATTAATGACTGCTGGGAGATGATGATCACCTGAAGCAGAGCCACAGGCCATTAAGCCTCAGGAAATGTCCTCAGCTCAGATAGTTATTGCTATTATAAGCTGAAACTGAAAAAGACATCTTGGGTATATTTTTTTTAAATGAGGTGATGCAATTTCTTCTTTTTTAATTAAACACTTTATTAGGAGCTTGTTAAAGCTTGCAGTTAGTGCTTGTGGGGAAGTCTTTCAAATTATGGTTATTATAGTCAGAATGAAAAACCACACACTGCACACTGAGTTTCTTCATAACTTGTTTCGTTTCCCAATTCTACAAAAAAAAAAAAATGTTGATTCAATGCCTATCAAGGTCAGGATTTACCAGTATTAACCACAAGGTAAAACATTCATGAAACAATAAGCCTGCACAGCTGAAAAAACATTGGGGAATACAAAAATTGAGGTGTCTTATCCTCTCCAGAATTGTGGCAATTTTGGGTTACTTGGCTGTTGAAAAGTTGATGTATAAACAACTACACTGGAGAAAGTGAGCTGAAATTTGATGTGTCTGGTTAGAGGTTTAATTTTTTTTCTAGGTACAGCAGCCCATTTTAGGATTACAAAGCCTAAGACATGTAAACCAATTATGAGATCATATGATCATATTTACACACACACACACACACACACTAGCACTTTGGGGAGAATAAAGGGTATGACAGGGCAGTCATCCCTACTGAAGAGCTGAACTGTGTCTTAGAAATGGGCACTTCCTAAGTTGTGCAAATACACATGTGTAGTACCCAAGCTACAAAGTAACATTTTCTACTGCACATTTTTCAAGCGATTCCCTTGGAAACTCCCAATCCCTATCCAGCTGTCCATTACTCCTTGCCCTGATTATTTGCATGTCTGTTTTCAAAGTTCAGCCAAATTTTACATTGTCTGTTAAAAAAAATAGCTCTGATTGCATTCCTTTTCCTCCCCGCTTCTTGTTTCTTTTGAGAAAAGTACTTTTTCACTGCCCCAAAGTATATTAAAAAATGAACTCTGGGTAGTGCTCATAAACAGAATATTTTAGCCCACAAGATGAGCTGTCAGAATGCTGTAGTCAGTGAAAATACATTTACAACAGAAACTGTTTTGTACCTTTAATTTTAGCAATTGCTACTGACAATAGACTGGTATTCCCTAAAAACTGAGTTTATTAGTTGAGATAGTTACATGGATCATTGACATTATATTTTCTTGCTTGTACATACTACAGTATTTTGGGGGGGGCATATTAACTAGAAGAAAGGAAAGAAATACAATACAGGAGCAAGAGAACTGATGCAGCTCTGCTGGGAGGCAGGGTTTGGAGAGTAAGTGCCTTCACCTCCAGGTGTGCTGTTTTGGGGCTCAGCAGTAGCAAGCAGCAACTAAGTAGTCATTCACTTTGAATAGAAAGCATGAAGGCCTCAGAAGCTGGCACTGCAGTGACCAGAAAGCTGGAAGAATACCTGAAGATCAGTTTGGGGGTATGTGTGATGAGGTTATTTCTTCCATCTGCAGCCTTTTCTCTTTATATTTTCCAGTATGCAGTTCATTTCTCAAAAAATGGAAGCATGCAGGATGGAAAAGGGAGGAGAAGCACCTTTTTCAAGGGTTTTTATTCAAGATTAATGCAGCTCAATGCCATTGTTAGTTCAAGCTGTATTTTACTTGTCAATCTTAGAAAGATGCAATACAATTGTGATTGTCATATACTGGACATTTCTGGAGAATCAGGGCTGCATCCTCAAATTCCTGCACGGTGCTGAGTGTCTCAACCTTTTTGCCCTAGAGGCTGGATGGGTGATGCCCAGTCTGTCCACAGGCCAGATTCTGCTGGTGGGCCTGATCTGGTGCTTGGGGCAGGCACAGTGGGGCCTGATGATGCACAGAGGGGGCAGGGTACAGCCTGGCCCCAGTCTAGCTGTGTGGGAGAAGATGAGTTGGCCCAGCACCAACCCAGC